ATTTGAGATAGATGTCGAAGTTGTTGTACTTGGTACGCACCAAGTGAGTGGTCCTCACCGGGCCACAGGCCGAATGCAGGCAGGTGGTGTGGGGGCCGTGGAACGAACGGACCCGCCGGGGAATGGGGATTACAGGCATCAGGCACCCCTCCGGTGACAGAGTCCCAGGGCAGGATTTACAGGGCACATATCAAATATTATCCATCGACACGGAAGAGATCCAACAGCCTGGGAACGTGAACTCTTTGCGGGATTTCCAGGAAGGAAGAGACCTGCAGGAGGGCAGAGAAGGAAAACACATTTAAGCAGCCCCCAGCAGCAGAGGCAGCACGGCAGATATCCTCTGGCTTGGCAGCCACTTACAACTGCTCTGCAAAACTCTGCTTCTGCACTTAAAACTTTGCTTCGCTGCTTTTCTTATTGCCTACCAGGTAGACAGAGAGAAATTCAATTCTGCTTCCATCATCACCTCACAGCTCCCTAGGAGCACGCAACGTCAGCACTAGTTGTAACCTGTTGTAAGTCCACTCACGTGAGGAGTAATATTAAGGTGTGTGTTTCCATTGAATCATATATTCTTTAAAGAAAAAAACAAAAAAGTTCTCCGAGTGCTTTTGCAAGTGAATTCTACAGCCCAGGCAGTGGTGGTTCTAGGTTTCTGCTCGTTTCAAAACTTGGCAAAGCTTCACCAAATAAACAAACTGGAAATAATGGAAGGTCTTGCAAGAACAATGAGGCAATCATGTTTTTCACACTCTACAGGATGTACCTCCCCTTGCTCAGCCCAGCCTTGCGGTCTCACTGTCACTGCATCCAACGGCAAGGCAGCCTTTCAAAGCCATCTACTGGTTTATTTCTCCCTTTGGGACCTGCAGAGATAAGTGAAATATCTTGATCTTCTGGAGTGTTTAGGATTTATAATCTTAACATCCTTCCCCACACCCGTTGTTGTTATGCGAGCGATGAGCAGTAGCCTGTTAGCTGCTCTCTGCTTCACCCCAGGCTTGTGATGTGCCAAATTCCGGGAATTATGAAATGACAATGCACTCATCAGATAATGCTAGACAACAACAGGGACTTCCCCAGCCCCCTTGCACACCCAGGCACTCAGATCTGGACAGATCTTTCCTCTGTTAAACAAGAAATCCTATTACTCTTTAAAATTAAAGCTAAAGTAATTTAGAAGCTACTCCACGAATTTTTTACTTTGTTACTAACAAAACTCATCGTGGAGTATATTATAAGGCTGCAGGAAATGGCACTCTGACATCAAAAACCTTCTCTGACACATGTGCATCACTGCTTCTTGCCTCCAAGTAAAGGCAAACAGCAGTTCTGATCCCTTCTGCTTGGCCCAGGTTCTAACTCTTTTGCACCATTGGAGGAATTTGCAGGTAATCTGTTGGCTCTACACGAATCAGGGAATAACAAAAAGGAGCAGGGGTTAGCTTACGATCAAGGAATTTAGGAAATTGAGGACTGTCCTCATAATTTTAAGTGCCTCTTTGTCCTAACTTCCTGTCTGTAGAAAGAAAACCCTAAGCAGCTCGGGAGCGTGTTACAAGGATGTATTTTGCAAGCCATGTAAAGCGGCGAGATACTAAACCAACACTGCTTAAAATTCACTTAGTTTCGTGCCCGGGGCATGCAACTGAACATGCTTCCCCTGTGCTAAGTATGTACTGCTCCGTGTTTGTTTTCAGAGATATTTTTGGAAGACTAAATTAGCGAGACAGGTTAAAATCCACACACTCTGGATTCAGAGCATCCCATATCTGATGACGCAGCCTCTCCTCACAACCCCTTTCACCAGGACACAAAAGGCAGCTCATCATTTTCCAGCAAACTCTTGCACACACAACTGGAGCACCCAGCAGGACCACGCCTGCGCGACGGAGCACAAACCCCGCTTGCAGAAGCTGTAGTTTGTCGGGGAAAACTCAACACACTGGCTTCACATCTGAGCCCTGTTTCACAAGAGTTTTGATTCTGACAAAACCTTCAACAGATGAATCCAAAAAAACCACTTGGTTTTCCAGCAGCAGCTTGTTCCCATTTACTGTGCCCACCACATAAACACACAGCCCTTTTCAAGTTCATGCTCGTTGGAGAAACTCAAATATCAACACTGGAACAGCCACAAGCAGAGGGATATCGCGAGAATAAAATAAACTCTCTGAAATATTACATTTTTAATGGTGTTGCCATCCACTCAGCAGAAGGTCGACAATCAGCTGCCGTTTCTGGATGCCACTTAATTCTTGTAACAAAAAAGTGAAGTTTTCCTGTGACACCTGGCCTTCTAGGAGGAGTGAAAGAAACTGCTAAGGTGCTTCAGAGACTCACAACACTCTACATATGAGTTGATCTAAAAGGTAAAACGAGAGAGTAAGTTCCAATTTGCTCATTTTGCATGTTAAAAAAATTCATAATTACAAGGCCCCTCCCCAAGCATGAGTTTTTAATCCTGTAAAGATTCTAAAAGAATCAGGCAAGGCGTAGGAAACGCGCTGCAGAGGGCACGCACAGCCAAGGCTTCCCAAACAGAACACAGGGCAGCAGGCACCCAAACCTGTCCGTCGGCACGCGATGCCTACAAACAGATTTGGATGCCCACTCCTCAAGATTATTTTTGGGGGCCTTTCTGTTTTAAAGCACATTGCTGCGAGACTGGAGAGCCGAGTTGGTCTCTTCCGAGTGTTATCCCACAGCTCAAAGGATTCCAACTCCAAGGCCCAGGCCACCTGGTGTGAGCCACGCTGCGTTACCCCGAGCGTCACGTTAACGACGGCCTCATCAGGAAGTTAAAAATCTTGATAACCATTCACTTTGGTGAGTCTTCACTCCTTTAAAAGTGGAGCGTATGATGAGAAAGCCACCGAAATACAGCGCTGCTTCTCCTCATCCCTCGCTCCTGGTGGAGGAGGAGGGATGACAGGGAGACTGCGACGTTCCCAGCTGGCAGGAGCACCAGTCAGGACCAGCAGGACCACAGCGTTCCCAAAGGAGCCAAACAAGGTCAGGGGCAATGACAAAGAAAGGTTAGTGCTGAGAAATGAAAGCGGGCAGCACCGGGAGGAGCGGAAATTCGAACTCCTCCTACATCCTACCCGAGCCTGAATCAAACCCCATCGGCTTGGGAAAGGGCCCGAGGGCAGGAAGCTCGGCCAGGACTTCCCCGCGAGGCCGAAAGCCCAGCCCGGACAACGCGGAGCCCCGCACGGCCACCGGGCCACG